GTAGGTCCGCCTGGCACCGTCGTTACTGGTTTTTCGGCGCCAGGTAAAGAACTTTTTATTTAAACATCATTTTAATTGTTAAAATATATGATCTGGCCAGGGCAACTTCTTCTTCCTTCTCTTTCCTCCTCCTATATTCTTTATTTACTTATTTTATACTGTTAATTTTAATTTTATATTATTGTATCTCAGTGTATTTTTTGTATTTATTGGTAATTTATTATGTTCTACTGTATTTCAATGTATCTTATTGTGTTGTAAGCCGCCCCGAGGCTTTGGCAAGGGGCGGCATAGAAATGTTATAATAATAATAATAATAATAGCCTAATAAAGAAAAGGATTAGGAGCTGCATGGGCCACTAATGCCTGACCCCCTCTACTGTTAAAATTCCCTTTTCAACTCTCCCCAGTGACCATCCACTAAAACTGAACTGCAGTCCTTTGGTCACATGCCCAGTGACTGCCACAGACTACATAGCAAGTGAATAGAGGTCAGCTGTTACCCTCCAGTTATCACAATGACTGCATTAAGATGTGATTCTAGTCTTTGTTATTTGCAGATTTACAGTTTCTTCACCTAAATTGGTATGGTTTAGACCAAGGATTTACTAAATTCACTCAGGCATAAAAAGCAAGTACTTTTCAACCTTCTTTAAAAGCTTCATTTTCTTTTAATGTCTTCCTCAACAGAATAGGATAGAAATGTGACAACACATAATCAGTTTGAGCAGGTCCCTGATGCTCCCCAGAAGTTCTAGCCCACAACATTAGCCAAAATGGCTAACCGAGAGTGATGACTGGAGTTGGCATCTAAAGTGCCAAAGGCACCAGTCATCTAACTCTGTATTACGACAGACTGTGCCATCAAGGAACAGAATATCAAATTTACTGTGCAATCCTATGCAGGTCTTCTCAAAAGCAGCCTCTACTGCAAAGCATGTATTGGTCAGAAGCTTTTATATAAAATATTAAATACTAGTTCCTCTATTTAGAATTGCATACCACAAGCACCCATGGAGTAGGCATGAATGCAGCAGGTTGTACACTCTGGAAATAAAAGATTTCTTGGTTAGGTCCATCCAGGCTGGAAATGGATCAGCAAGATAATGACACAGCTTGTGTGGGCCAGCACTTAGTATACCAAACTAAACACTGATATTTAATCCATCTGTGTTGATTTTAATAACTGCTGATCTACCTGAAAGGTGTGCCTTATTCCATTGGCAAATCTGAGATTAAGGCCACGGCCATTTTATAAGGCAGAGTTTTTTTGTCTTCCACAAAAGCACCACATTCATGTTCACATCTACCATATTTTCCGTGGCCATAGCTAGGAGCTTGAAGAAGTCTCTTGGTCTTCTTCATTGAAAAAAAGCTGTAAAAGATTAAAATAATGTTAAAGGGAAGTGGGAAAAAAAGTCAAAGGCCACAATTCGACAGGCTGAACCCTTGTGACATTGAAATTTCCAAATCAGAGAATTCTGTTAAAATGGCAGGGCAGCAGAAGCAGCAAAAGCTACCTTTGATTAAACACAAACTATTTACATACAAACATGCACACAAACACTCGCATAACCAAAAAATGTCAATGATCAAACAATTAGGGATCCCCTCACCGCCTTAAAATCCTTGTCACATGCTGCCAAATGTAAGGAGTAAAGAAAAATCATAACCTAGCACAGACAAGACATCAATGCAGCATTCTAACAGTCCTTTTCCATCCTTGACTTTCCCTCACGGAGACTGCAAAATCGGCTCAGGACAAAGCGCGACCTTCGAGAAAAGCAGACACGCACCTGCGTTGCCGGGTCCTTCCCTCGTGCGACGCGCGGCTACCACGAGGCCGCCTCACGAAGAAAAAGGAAGCCAGCAAGGCCTCCCCCAGGAGAGCTCCCACAATGCTCCGGGAAAGGGGCGGGAAGAAAGCGCTACGGCTATCGCTAACTCTGATTCTCTATGGCAGACGGTGCCACTCTATCAGCTCGTTACTCTATGGTGAGAAGCCATGTCTCCCTATACCGGAAGCGCTTCCCTCTACCGCTACTAAGGGGAAATGCGGAAAACGTCGGGGCGGCGGTGACGTCACTCCGTGCATTCTCAGGTGGGCCAATTAAATGGGAGGATGAGGCGAAGCTTCACCCGCGCGGCATCCGCCGACCCAACGTCTGAGAACGTGACTCCCGCCAAACTCCGGAGCGTGTCGATCGAGTCTGTCGAAACGTTCTCGGTTTACTTATTAGTTGCTGTCGTTTTATTTATTTATTTTGAAGAGAAAACGAGAACATGCACCAAAGTGGAGAGCCATCTATACAGTATTATAATTATTTTCATTTCTGTACCTCGCCAGAGCCGAAGTGCTCTGGGCGGTTTACAAACAATTTCGACAGTCTTGTGGCGCCTTTCAAAGACTGACCCATGTTTTCAAGGATACTTGTTGATGTGTCTTTTAATATTTGCCACAGTCGTTTAATTTAGAAGAGCAGGACAAGGTAGTGAAAGGAAATTTTGGAGGGAATACATTCATTTATGCCCGGGAGAGTCCCTTCTCCGAGAACCCTCCATGAAAGAAATTAGGAGAGTAAGTACCCGGAGGAGGGCTTTCTCTGCGGTGGCGCCCAACCTATGGAATTCACTCCCCAAAGAGGTCCGCCTGGCACCGTCGTTACTGGTTTTTCGGCGCCAGGTAAAGACCTTTTTATTTAAACATCATTTCAATTGTT